CAGACGCTTAACCGACTGAACCATCCATGTGAATTTTAGTTGTAAACCCAACGGAGAACATCTTGTGATTATAATCTCTCAGAAATATATTTATTCCTTTCTTCTCTTCTGGTCAGTGTCAAGGAAATTTTCCTTACAGTCTCTGTGGGCAGGGATGGGTTAGATTTATTGTTTGTCTGAGGGAGTAACGCTTTGGGAACCCCAGATTAACAGAGAAGAACATCCCAGTAGACTCCCCCTTTAAAACAAGTCTTGGGCTTTGACTTCTGTCCTCCTCATACCAAAGATTAGCTTTACTTTGGCCAGTGTCATCCAGGCAAAATGACCATAAACTCCGTTTACCATTCAGGATTGCTTCTTCCCCTTTAATTTTGCCCTCGCAAGTCTTTTTATCTTGTCAGCTCTTGGTTCCTTTATGATATTTTTATATTTTCTCCTGCATTGTTAGAATTTCTTGGCCAGAGGATTGCTATAATCTGACCCACTGAATTCCCAACATTCTAACCAGATTCTTTAAAAATATAAGTCAAATTATGCTACTGCATCCACTCAAAACCTTCCTATGGTTTTCCATATCACTCAGAGTCTAATCCAGTCTTTAGATCGTCCCGCGGGCCCTGATGACCCGACTTTCTACTGCTTCTCACCCCTCAGCTTCTGTCACCTCTCCCACTGACGCCATATTGCTCTGTCCTCAGTGAAGCACTTAATTGGATGTGAGGCATGTATTTTTTGGGTGAATAAAGAGCTCCTGCATATCTGTAAGAAAAACACAGTCCAGTAGGGAAAAGTTAAGTTGGAAATGCATATAACTTATCACCCAGCAATTCTTGTTCTATGACCTAGAGAAATCATCACATATGTGCTCAGGGAGACATGTATAAGAATATTCAGAGCACGGTTGCTTAAAATTACGTAAAAGTGGGAAGAACCTAACAGAACCTCAGAGAGAGAATAGTTACACAAACTGTATTTCACTCAAAAAGTGGAATTCTAGAGACAAGTTAAAAAGAATGAACCACATCTATAGTTATTAATGTACATAACTGCCCCAAAATAATGTTGAGTGAAAAAAGTTGCAGATAAGTATGTACAATGTACAATCATATACATGTAAGATCACAAAAAATTATAGATTATTTGTGGATACATACATTTATAGTAAAAGCTCTTTAAAAATAGGAAAGAAAGTCACATTAAGTTCAGAACAGACATTTCTCCTGGAAAGGATGGAAAGAAAACGGTAGCTAAAGCCATTGTATTTTATTTTTTTAAAGACAGAGAATGGTAGCAAATGTAGCGAAATATTAACATTTAATCTAGATACTAAGTATATGTTATATAAAATGTTTTCTGTATGTTTGAAATATTTCTGAATTTATGTTAAAAACTCACCACAATATCTTTGACTCTCACAAAAATCCCCAACATGCTCAATACAATATCTGGTAATATCGGGACACCTGTGTGGCTCAGTCGATTAAGCGTCTCACTTCAGCTCAGGTCGTGATCTCACAGTTCATGAGTTCGAACCCTGCATCAGGCTCTGTGCTGACAGCTCGGAGCCTGGAGCCTGCTTCAAATTCTGTGTTTCCCTCTCTGGCTGCTTCTCCCCCGTTCATGCTCTGTCTCTCTCTCTCTCTCAAAAATAAATAAACATTAAAAAAAATTTTAATTATTAAAAACATTTGGTAGTATTAATGAAATTGAATTTAGAATTTTAAAGTGTCATCACAGATCAATTAAGCAATTATCAGTCAGGGCCCAAAAGGAAAAAACAGTATTTTAAAAATAGCATAATGCCACCTGCAGGAAAAGAGCTACAATTTTTTCAGAAAGATAATGATAAATGTTTAGAGTCAGTTTAATGGAGTAATTAAACTACCAGTGGGCTAGAAACATTATTTTCAACAGTTCCATCCACACCTTCTAAAACTGAAGTCAATCCCACATTATTTGCTTGATTTGGGAGGGGAAAAAAATTAAAAAGACACAAGATTAGTCTTGGTGCAAGGCTAAGGGAGAATTACTATCTACAAACATAACACATGTTATGAGGAGTTAAGAGTTTTAAGAATAGCCAGAACTTCCTAAATAATTTGTATACAACTTCATTGTTCCAATTTTATTTGTAAAATTTCCTTAAATAATTTAGTTCCCAATACCACACCAGAAAGGAGTATATGGGGCTTGGAAGCCAGACCCGCTGGGTCCAAATCCTGGCTTTACTAATTACTAGCTGTGTGATTTTGGGTCTTTCACTGTTGAATCATCTGACAATCTCATTGCCATTCCTATGAAGGTCATCAGTTTTTTCTCTGGCTGTGTTTGAGATTTTCTCTTTTTTTCCTTCTTTCTCTCCCAATGATTCATTTGGAGACAATTTCTTCAATCTTCTTACTAATTCTTTTATCAGCTATATTTCATCTGCTGTTAATCCCTTCGATTTCTATTTGTAGATGTTTAATCTGGTATTTTTCCAAATATGGGTGGACATTTTAAATAGTCTTTTACCCTTTATTCATATGTTCAGTCCCTTCCTTTCTTTCTTTAAACATCATAAATGTTTTTTCTATTCTGTGCCTGGTAATTCCAGTACCTGAAGCCTTTCCACTAATCTCTGCGTTGTGTCTCCCACTCGTCTTCACTTTTCTGAATGTGAGCTTTATTTTTTAGACTTTGACTCTCAGAATTATTTGCAGACTGGGCTAAAGGTGGATTCCTACAGGTAAGAGCAACATCTGCCGATGCCTGCTTAACATCCCTTTAAAGTAAAATTTCAGTTTGAGATGCTTCAGACTACTCAGGTTGTGTGCATTTGGGCCTCCATGCATTTGCAGGCTATGTTGTGATTATGAGTTATCTGGACACATTTTTGTTTTCCCTTCTGGTACAAAGTTCAAGAACCACAAGTCCTTTTAGTCTCTAATGATGGGGGTAGAGTTGTGGTTATTTCCAGGTCACCTTTTAAAATGAAGGTCTAACTCTTTGGGGTTCCAAATGAATTGGGGGAGAACCTACTATTACATTCCTACCTTGGGAAGGTCCTGGGCTTTGTCTTCATTGTCTTTATTTTACCAAAGCCATGAAAACCTAAATTAAGATTGTCTAGGTAACAAATGCCCTCAATGGCAAAAGCCATCTTTCTGCTCCTTTTCCTTCTTTTAGTTTCCACTTCCACCTTGGCTTTGGCCTCTGGGTATGCCTTACTAAGGTACACTTAAAAAATATTTTTACATTTTTATTTTATCCAGTGTTTTCAGCTAGAGGAACAGTCATGTTCTCTTTTAGAGCTTGAAGTCCTACTTGTTCTTAATGCTGTTAATAGGAACAGAACATTAAATATAACAGCCTCTCATTCATGTTTTTAACAAATATTCATTGAGCAATTATTAAGTACCAGACGGTGGTCTAGGCTGTTGAAAAACAAAGTCCTTACCCTCAAGGATTACATTCTGGGGGAATAAATAAAAGTATCTTGTGGCTGCGAAGAAAAAGAAACATGGTAATGAGGATAGAGGGTGACAAAGTCATACTATTATCCTAAATGGGATGGCCAAAGAAAACCTCTTAGATAAACTATTTGAGCAGAGACCTTAGTTAAGAAAGGGAGAGAAAAAATTAGTGGACTGCCTGGGGTAGAACTCTCCAGGCAGGGCAGTCAGTGCAAAGGCTTTACTGCAGGAGTGACCTGGGTGGGTCCAAGAACAGTCAGCGCACCAGACTGGTGGACGCAGACTGAGCAAGAGGGGCAGACAGTAGAAAATGAGGTCTAGTCAGACACACAATAATCACAATATGCTTTAATAAATCCAGGAAAGATGGCATAAGCTTCACATTTAATAAGGCCAGATGCTCTGGCTTATCTGAAATGTTTTCAGGTAGACACTCCAGAAATTAAATTGGTAAGTAATCAAATCAGTTGTTAATGTCTCACAAATTCTGCTTTAAATGTACAGGACACAGTTATAAGAGATCTTTAAGCAAAATTATAACCTAGCTGAACAATTATCTACATCTATACAAAGTTTTAAAATAACATCGTGTAGATATTTTAAATTTCTGAAGAGAAGTTTAATTATTGCAGGGCCGACATAAAACTGGACTCCAACCCTTAAGACTTCATTAAGTTACTATACAAACTACGGTCATCCAGTATTCAGTGTATACTGTGACCCTATAATTTCCTGGTAAGTAGGGATAGAGGTCCAAGGTCATAAACGAGTGAGGAGGATATACACTTATATAAATTATTTCAGTGAATGAAAAATGGAAGTGTTACAGTAGACCCGAAGCAAGGGGCTAGCATAGCTAGCAAAGCTATTATCTTTGATCTTGTTAACCACCCTCTGAAGTAGGTATTAGCGCTCTGATTTTGCAAGGGAGAGGCATGGGGGGCGGAGGGGCGGGGGGTGCAACCTAGATTCACGTGTTCAGACTGCAAGTGCACAGCTGAGGTTCTGCCAACAGAAAAGGAATCATTGCTGGGTATTCCTCTTAAGGAGTTAATGTACTCCTTTGTAAAGCAACTTTTCTCTGTAAAGCCCTAAACAAACGTTAGTTATGTTCTCTGGTTTAAGCCACCTCAACTCAATTACAGACAATTTAGCGTTTTATTTTTCTTTTGGGAATCAGACATTTAAATTTGAAAGACATCTGTGCAGGGAGAGGCCAGTCGCGCCCGTCAGCTGCAGCAGAATCAGTGCAGCGTCAGGGTCTTCGGAAGCTAGGGGGTCTGCACAAGATCTAATCCAAATCCAAACCCTCCACCTTTGACCGCAGTTCAATAACCTCAAAACCAGAACGCGGCCTCAAGGTATCACCGGGCCAGGATCGAAGTTTTGCCTAGGCTTGGGAGAAGGCGATGGGAAACCAGGAACTGGGCCTACATTTCCGGAGTTAAATGTTATTTATAGCCCAGGCCGGGAGAAGCCAAAGCCGACAACAGCTGCGCTGCAGCGCGGTGCCACCGCCATGCAAGCAGGTCTCACACCGCTCACCTTCACAGTCGGCCCCGGCCTCCTGGCCCAGCACCGGCCCCAGGTTAGAGACCCAAAGCCCGGCATAAAAGGCCACCATCGCGGCTGGGCCCGCGCACCGCATGCTGAGCCAGCCGCTCCAAACGCCTCGCCACCTGCGTCCACCAACAGCCACGCTGCTGTCGGCCCGGGCTGTTACAGGACGCAGAAGAGCCCGGCTAGTCGTTGGGAAAAAAATCTGCCCGGAGTTACCAGGACAAATGACGCAACTCAATCGGCAGTTTCCATTGGCTTCCAGGAAAGGGCCTAGAAAGAGTCCGCGCCCCTTCCAGTCCCTCCCTCACTGGAGCATGCGCACTATCGCCCACGCGGTGCCTTTCCGGTAGGGCGGGGGATTGGGGGACGCACTGAAGCTATTCGCAGACAGTCCGAGAGGAAAGGCTAAACCTTCACGCTGATTGGCGGCGACGCGGGAGGCCGGGGCGGATGTACGGGACGCAGTGGGCGGGCGGGAACGTGAAATTTCCGCGGTGCCTGATGGGGCTGTTCGGAGGTCGGGAGCTGTTGGCACAGGGGGACCACTCGTTACTGCTGCCGCCGTATCTGCCGCCTCATGGCGGCCATCGGAGTTCACCTGGGCTGCACTTCAGCCTGTGTGGCCGTCTATAAGGTGAGGGCCTGGGGGAGCTGGTTTGTGATTAATGTCGGCCACCCAGTTCTCCCGGTGCTGAGCCAAGTCCTTTGATCTCCTGCGGGGTTTGTGAACGGCGTGTCGCCGGCCTAGGAATGTCGCGTGGAGAGACATTACTAGGGGCAAGTTTGGAGGCGAAGCGCCGGGCGGACCGGCCTCGTCATTCGCAGCTCCTCCGGAAAGTCCACTGCGTCCTGGCGGACGGTTGTGACGACGTGGGCGCGCTGGGTCTGGAAACGTCCCGGCCGCAAAAGGCCTGGTGGGGGGTGGTCCTGGGGACGTAAGGGCCGTTGGAGGCCCAGAGGGATTTCGGGGACGGCTGGTCCCCGGGGCGTCAGGCCCGCAGGTGGCCCGGAGGGTCTCGGGGACATCAGGACCACAGGAGGCGCGGAGAGGGGCGGTCCTGGAGACGTCAGGGCCGCCGGAGACCCGGAGGGGGCGGTCCCGGGGACGTCTGGGCAGCTGAGGCCTGGGAGGTCTCGGGGACATCAGGGCTGCAGGGAAGCCGGAGAGGGGCCGTCCCAGGGACCTCAGGGCTGCCGGAGGCCGGGAGGGGTCTCGAGGATCTCCAGGGCACTGGAGGCCCGGAGGTGGGCCTGAACGTCCGACACCGGCGGCTTCTGGATGCCGCGAAAGGACCGGGTGGTCGAGATCTGAAACTGGAGTTGCTAATCCCTCGAAGCGTGTGAATCGAGTTGGTGGCATGCTCTACTTGACCTTTCTTGAATGAGAGAGCTTAACAAGGAGTTGTAGCTTCTTGGCATCAGTGGGGAGGCGAGAGGAACAATAATAACCAACTCCCCTAATACTAGTCTCGCACGTAAATGTCAAGTAACTTGGAAGGAAAACCAAAGAGATTTAGTGCTACTTCATCATACGTAGAAAAAGGAAGAAAGATGTACCTGTCGGGGAAGAACGAAAACTAGAAAGGGTGATGTCATAAGGCTTGTTATTGTATATAGAAAGATTATTATGTTTGATCCATTTATCGACTGTATAGAAAAAAATGAGGCAGTTCTTTGTGGAACATTGACCTTGTATAAAATCTAGGAAATTAATAACGGCCATTGAATCTACAAATTTAAAATATTGATGTAACGATTTTTCTATCTACGCATGTGGCAAGATAACACTGGTCCACATATGTCTGATGGGACTATCTATCTATCTGTATATGTCTATATGTGTTTTGTTTTCAAAAGACCTAATAGAGTTCTATTTTTTTTTTTTCCAGGATGGCCGGGCTGATGTGGTTGCAAATGATGCAGGTGACAGAGTTACTCCAGCTGTAGTTGCTTACACAGAAAATGAAGAGGTACTATTTCCCTCATTTTTGTATTTTGAAATAAGCAGAATTACATGCATTGTAATATACTGCTCTTTTTCAGGTTGTTGGATTGGCAGCAAAACAAAGTAGAATAAGAAATATTTCAAATACAGTAATGAAAGTAAAGCAGATCCTTGGCAGAAGGTACGGAATAAAATAATAATCTTACATATGGGAAGAAAATGTGTTTATACATTCTAAACATAATGTGCAGTGAAACTGGAAACACCAGTTTGGTTTTCTGTTGCTTTTTATGATTGAGTCATTTCAGAGATTATCCCAAGTAGGCTCTTTCTTTTGATAATTAGTGTTGAATCTTGTCAAGGATGGGATTCACTCAGATATTTGTTTCTTGCTGATGGGTCTGTTCTTATTGATGAATGCCAACATTCATATAGTTTGATAATTTGTGTCATTTAGAAGTGGTAATTTGGACTTTTCACCTTTTTACGTCACTGAAAGAATTTGAAAGATTTTGTGGGAATTTGAAGATTTTTCTGTACTGAAGTCGAATTTTGCAAAATCTATTACAGTTGGTCATAATGTATATAGAAGCTATTGATTTTCTTCCTCGGGTCCTTTTGTGACACTTTCTGGGAACTAACTTTTCCAGCTGCATTATGAATTTAATCATTAAAGAAACAGTTTAATTAACATCTTAAGAATCAGGTTAATCATCTGTTGTAACTTTAATTAAAAGATTAAAGAGGCTTGCTTCTCCAGACTTCTGTCTCCTCGAATTATAGATTGACATAATAATTAGAGGTTTTCATTTTCACTGGAGTAGTAATACTTGATACAGTGTTTTTAAATTTTCAAAGTGCTTTCACATCTATTATTTAATCCTCTCAAATTCCTAAAAGATTGGAAGGGCAGGTTTTATTTCTTCCCATTTGTAGATGAGAAAATCAAGACACGTAGAAGTTACAGTATTACTCAGTTAGAGGGGTGAGCTAGGTAGGACTGTGGTTTAGGACTTCTAACTTAGCCTCAGGTTCTTTCTACTTCTGAGAGTTTAAGTAGAAATGTCCTGTGTTGATCTTAGGATTCGAGGGTTATGGATTAAATCTAATATTTATTTCTTTTATATGTATAGGTATTTTTTTTTTTTTATTATCCCTTACACGTATTTAAGCTGAACTTGATAATTATTTTTCCCCCTTAGGGTATTTATGCACGAAGTCAAAAATGATAATATTTTAGAGAGAATTAAAATTTTTGTGATGATAAATATATTCCCATATCCATTTATGTGTTGATAAAACTTAGTATTGAGCATATTGAAAATAAATTAGCTGGTGTCAAAAATTTGCAAGTTAAAAAAAAAAAACCTCTAAAAAGGCGGGGAGCCGTACATGGGCCTTGAAGCTAGATTCGCGATAAGCAGCCAAAATAGGGCTTTTTTTTAATTAAACTTTTTATTTTGAGATCATTGTAGATTTACATACTGTTGTAGGAAGTAATAACAGAGAAATCCAATATATTACTGGATTTACCACTTTCTCTCGATGGTAACATCTTGGAAAACTATAGTACAGTGGCACAACCAGGATACTGACATTGATACGATCCAGATACAGAACATTTCAGTAGATCTTTGTCCTGGTAGCCCTTTTTTAGGGCAGATGATCAGAGTAATGATATGGTTGTCTTCTGCCATATCATGCAACATCTTTGTATTGTCAGGAACAACTTAAGTGTACTTTTCTCGCCCCCAAAGTTAACCTTTTAACAAAGTGCAGTGGTGACAGTCAGATGGGTATTATATAGCCCCAGGGCTAGTAAAGGATGAGCGCTCTTCAGACCTGCTGTTACACCATGATCCTGCGTGCACTTCTCTAGAGTGAGCTGCGTCCTGGTCCACATGTTCTGCCCTCAGTCTACTTAGAACACAAGGTGATTTTTACAGATATGCACTTGTACCAGGTCTTGGCCTTAGAAGCACTCTGTCTTTTGTGGAGGAGCCAGTCCCCTTTTATCAAGCCAATAAGACCCCTTGAAGCCCCTGGTCCAGTACCTGTCCTGGGCAAACTCCCAAAGTTGGGCTTTCTTAGTCTTGGCATCCTGCCTGTTTGCACCGTACTTACAGGGAGCACCACTTAACTTGCTGCCACGATTATCCTCACGACCCTCTCTGTAACTCTCATTCCCCTGTGGCCTTCCAGCCAGAAATGCGGTCCTTGGACCTGGCTTCTCAACAATTAGCCCTGAGAGGGAAGAATCGGCTGGCTCCTGGAAATACACTGAGAGCACACAGAGCTTCCCCACACCTTCAGATTTGCACCTTGCTGCCCAGGAGCTTCCCACAGCTAATCTTCCTTCCCAGTCCACTATGGCCAGTTCCAATAGCAGTGCGGGCATCCGGTGGTCCAGACAGGAGACACGAACGCTTCTCTCCATACTAGGCGAGGCAGAGTATATTCAACGCCTCCAGACTGTGCATCATAATGCAGATGTCTATCAGGCTGTGTCTAAGCGAATGCAGCAGGAAGGCTTCCGCCGCACCGAACGTCAGTGCCGCTCCAAGTTTAAAGTTCTGAAGGCGTTATATTTAAAGGCGTACGTTGCCCATGCCACGAGTGTGGGGGATCCGCCGCACTGTCCGTTTTATGATACATTGGATCAGCTTCTCCGAAATCAGATAGTGACTGACCCAGACAACTTAATGGAGGACACTACTTGGGCCAAGCACTGTGATCAGAACTTAGTGGCCTCTGACACCCCAGGGGAAGAGGGACCCAGCATTCTCAGAGCAAAAAGGACTCAGGCAGCAGATCATCAGCCTATCTTGAAAACAGTTAAGGAATCAGATGAGGATTGTCAACTGAGAATCAGTGACCAGATGCGAGAAACCAGTGACCTTGAGGACTCCTGGGATGAATCCTCGGGTGCAGGTAACTCCCAAGCATGTGAAGGATCGGGGTGCCAGAGTCACTCGGTTCTAAACAGCAGGATATGTTTGGATGGTGTTCTCTTCAACATTGTCTCCATTTCTGCCCCATGCCCTCTTATTTTTTAAGCCTCGTGGTCAGATAAAGGGCTCCAGGTTTTTAAAAGCAATGACCTTAAGTATCTAAGGTATTAGAACTTTTTAAATGTGGATGAAGTATTCTTTAGAACCAGACTAGTTTTGCTGTTATTTATAGTGGGTGTGTAGGAATTCGTGACTAGAGATGGGGCTGGCTGGCTATGTGGAAAAGGGTTCAGGAAGGCAACAGGGAAGTTTTAGAGGTAAGACTGCAATTGGCCAAAGTGTCCAGATTAAGGAATTGAGATCTTCCCAGTCCCTGGTGGAAAGAGGCCTTTCCAGCCTTAGTTTTGTAACTGTCTTCTCAACTCCACTGCTGGCTCCAAGCATTCCCCTAGCAGGAATGTCCTCTTTGCAACGTTGTTGCTTTGTTTTTCAGGGTGCTCTCAAGGGACCCCCAGCTACAGCAGCTCCCACCACCTTTTCAGAGGTGCGGTTGCTCCCTGTCAGAGCAGCCCCATGACCCGCCTGGGTGTGTCCGGTGAGCCCAGTCCGTGTGCCAGCACCAGCCGAAACACTCCTGGGGTGGCCTCCGCACCGCGGCCTCCGGTCTCCTCCTCCACAGTTCCTTTTGTTTCTGGTGGGGATAGGCCTTTGACCGGTGAGCCCCCTCCACGGTGGGCGAGGCGAAGAAGGCGGTCAGTGGCCAGGACTATTGCGGCCGAGTTGGCAGAAAACAGGAGGTTGGCACGAGAACTTTCAAAGCGTGAGGAAGAAAAATTGGACAGGCTGATTGCTATTGGTGAGGAGGCCAGTGCTCAGCAAGACACTGCCAACGAGCTCCGCAGGGATGCCGTGATCGCAGTCAGACGCTTGGCCACGGCGGTGGAAGAGGCCACCGGTGCTTTTCAGCTAGGGCTCGAAAAATTGCTTCAGAGGTTAATTTCGAATACCAAAAGTTAAGAATTGATTACAAAGAGGCTGTTTCCTAAACTGGTAGAAGCCCAGTTCCAACACCTGCCTTTTGGTACCCTGGCTCCTTTTACACGTCCTTAGGAATGAATAAAGGAAAGAAAAAGCGGATGAAACATTAATATGCAGAGTAGCGGGAACGTATGAGCTAGTTGCTTTTCCAAGCTTCTTCACGAATTTGAAGACCTCTCGGGTATGCGAGGAGTGGTCTGACAGAACAGATGGAGTCGAGACCAGAGAGGGGGTTAGCTGCGGCCTCGCTGCTAGTGTGGGGCAGTTTAGTTTACCTCGACACCAGTTTCCTCATCTGTATGGGGGCCCGGTCATAACTCCTGACCTGCCTACCTCACAGGGTTGTTGTGAGGACCCAATGGCTAGTAGATGTGAAAGGGTTTAAAAGTTTAAAAGCACTACACACTATATACATGTAAGTTATTAATGCATATGACCTTGGCCGAGGTTTGGCTAGGGTGAGGCACGTTAGTTGACAGAATTATGGTGTCTGCCGTGACCTCATTGCTTGAATCTTTACCGGTTTAACTTGACTGCTTCTTAGAAGTGTAAGGTTTTCATTTTTTTAATCCCTCTCTGGCTCATTAGACTGATATAGATCCATGTGTTTATACCTTTATCTCTTATATTTTCACTGCTGTGTCTATGACATACTTAACTAGTAAGCACTCAATGGTCAAACCAGCTTTCCTTCCCTTTCACTGGTTTTTAGTGACTTACCACTCTAAGGATATAATTCAGAACTGACAGGGAGCTACAGTTGTGTGTTACGATTCATATGGTCTTCGATATGATGAGGTATTGGCTGTTTTATAAAATATTAAATGTAAGTAAATTCTTTGCATTCCATATTATTTGGGTCCCTAATATACATAATGACATGTCTTTAGGTTTAGGGTGTCACTTGGAACAACATGTGGAAACAATTTGGAATCTGTTTTCCAAGTGCTTTCAGCTAATTTCATTCCTTTCTTTTAGCCTTTTTTCTGTCTGGTATGTTACAGAGGCAAGCCCTAGAAGACTTTGCTTCTGGGGAACTTTGCAAAGTCACTTTTTCTCATACAGTGTAGACAAAAGTTCACCGTGTTAATGGCCTGTGGTGGAAGAGGACAGCGGGAACAACTGAGGACGGTGTGGATAAAGACCGCCTGCAGTAGATGACTCCTTTTAAGCACAAAGCCCTCAATAAATACGTCCTCCTTTCCCCCAAAACATCCACACTTCCTTTAGGAGATACGAAGATGTTGAGCCATACCTCCAATTTACCTTAGAAAGAATGCCATTATTGGCCGTCATGAAACCAACAAACTTCAAAGCTTTTAAGTGGTTTGCTTAGTACTTTCAGGAAATACAAATAAGAGCCTTGGAATTTAAAAGGCTTTCCTCCAGTCTACAGGCTGAAAAAAACAAGTGCAGGCATATTTGAAGAGGTTTTGTTTTATATTTTGTAGGCTTGGGTGCTTACCTATGTGCTGGAAATGCAGGTGGGTGGAGAAAGAGTCAAAACAACACTAGGAATATAGCCAGAGCGTGAGTCGGAGGCAGGCAAGCTGCACTGACGAACGAGTGATGCGTGTAGAAGGCAGCTGATGTGCTAGAGCACTGGATTCTAACCCTGTCACGGTGTGTGACCTCGGGCAGGTGACTTGCCCTTTTGGTGCCTCAATTTCTTTAAAATGATTTGTACTAGATGACTTTTCTAGTACCTTCTAGTTCTAAAACAATTCTATAAGTGACATAACAAGAAAAAGGCAAAGTAAACTTTTAATTGTAATATTTTCAGTCACAGTAGCATATTGTATGTTTGAAATACTGGTAACAGTTGTATTTTAAGAGAGCATTCTACGGTATTAATATTTATTAATATACTCCACTTACATAAGCACCACACCAGACGTAGGTTCCTTGCTTTAAAGAAGCCCATATTAAGGCAGTGAAACGGATATACCTGTGTGTGCATTTTCTCCATTGTTTTAGGCCTTTGTATGTGTCTGTTTTAACGGGGTAACACTAATATAAGTACGTAGACTTTCTGGAAAAACAGGGAAGTACTCAAAGGAGAGTTAGGCCTGTACTCTATTAACCTATTAATGGTAGAAAAGTACGTAGGCAGGGCTTTATTTGAGATAAGTGCTACAGAACAGGAGTGGAGCTAAACTTAGGAGGTAGTACTGTGAAAATCTTTTGGGTGAAATAACTTTAATGTGAGAAGAAAAGGAAAGTTCTTAATGAAATAAACAGAAAAAGAAAACACTGTTAAGAGGAGGCCATTCTCATTGAAAGAGAACAAGCTCAGAAACCCTGCCTAGGCTCTGGGCCCCGCCGTTCGTGCCTGCCCACCCTTAGGCAGGTCACCTTACCGCTCTGTGACTCCCATTCCTCACCCACAGAGGGAGAGACCAACAACCCTCCTACCTACCTCGCGGGAGTGTGGTGAGGGCCAGATGAACAGATGAATGTAAAAACGCTTTCAGATGTGGAAGGCACTGTCTTGTGACAGTGATGGGGAAGACCGCCCTGGAGCACATTAGTGCTGCTGTGTGCCAGCTCCAGCAGTCTGCTGATGGTGCAAGAGACATTTAAGGAAGGACGAGGAAGAGAAAGCGGCAGTGCTTGTAAAGGTTGTGGTACGACGGTGGGGTTAACACTCTGCCTCCTGAAGACCGTGATGTAAATGAGGTGCTGTGTATGCCAACCTCCCACCACCCTTTGTGTTTCTGTTAAGTGATTTAATCCTGGTGTGGACAAATAAAGTTTTTACTTGTATGTACTTGTGGTCAGTCCGCTACTTTCTGGCGATATCCACGACCATTTGTCGTCACCTCCACTCTCTGCTTTCTGCTTCTCTGCTAGCTAATCTCCAGGGTCTCGCCTTCATACGATCCTGAGAGCTTCATGTGCTTTCTGTCCTCACATGAGAGGGGCCCTCTTCGCAGAGGAGTTGAGAAATAATTTTCCATTTCTAAAATGTCTATAAATTCCATAATATAGGCTTTTTGGCAACGAACTATCTTGACTTGGGTAGCTTACAGGAAGGATAGATAACAGGATAAATTGTCCTGGTTGACCACAACGCTTGTTCTAAAGAGAACAACTGGTAAGTGTCATGCTGAAATGGTATTGGTGCAAATAAATAAGTATGGGCACGCTTCATCTTTTTTTTGGCGTACTCTTAAAATAGTTATCCAGGATCCAGTCGAAATACCGGATTTAGAGAAAGGGAGGAAAAGAGGGCTTAGTGAAAAGAATACTAAACTTTGTATTAAAGATCTGGATTCCAGTCAGTTCTGCCATGAATTAACCATGGGACTTTGGGCAAGCTACTTACTTTAACCTGTTTCCTCTCTTAGCAGTTTTTAGGTGATAGAGAAGAAGTGTGAGGAATCTGCAAGTGTTCTAGACAGTTCTAAGCCGAATTAGTCACTTAAACCCTTCTGTCTTCCTCTTATTTACACAGGTTAGGGTCTTTGGATGCCCAATAACTTCAGCAGTTAGTTGCTATTAATTTTCAACTCCTCTTTTTAAAGACTGGTCTCTGAATGGAATAGCTGCAACCCCTTGGAAGAAGGGTTAAAGTGGAAGGGTTTCCTTTAATTTCTAGATGAAGTTATAGCAAGAATCAAGGACTCCTGTCACTGCCCAAAGGGGTAGAGGTACTTTAGTCATTTACCTTGTTACTGGGAGGCAGCCGGTTAGATGTAAACAACACCAGCCTGATAGAGAAGCCTGGAATCAGTACCAACTGTTCCTTATTAACTTACAAGGCATTGACTATGAACTATTACCTCCAAAATAATACCTGCCAAATTAACCCCACTGAGGTGTCGTGAAGAGCAAGTGAGGTAATACACGTGAAAACATTTTTTAGTCTGCACAAATTGGTATTTTGAGCAACATCATATCCATTGTTCTAATTTTTCATTGCCGTATACATTTATCTAATACCTACTTTGGGTAGGACGTTATAGATCTGTCTACTTGCAGTACGCTGCACCTTTCCACATAGAACATTCATACTTCAGCTCAGTTTTTTGTTTTTTTGTTTTTTGTTTTTTGCTTTGGGTGTTGATTCATGTTCACGAGCCAAGGAACAAAGATGGTGTTAGGTATTCTGGTCTGCCCTTACTTTGACATCTTTCTTTTCGTCCTTTTTATCTCAGTGATTGTCAGTGATCAGTCCTCACCATCACAGATGGGAGTATATATGACATAAAATCATTGATATTCTGAAAAATTACCCTCAGATGTATAGCATCTGTTAATAGCAAGATCAGAACAAATAAGAGCTATTTACTTCCAAACATGAAGGTTAACACGTGTGTGTGTGCGTGTGCGTGCGTGTGCACGCTGGTTAACACTTTAATAGGATTACTATAACCACTAAATAATTGTGTCCATTTAATCCTATCACTTATAATATATCATGATTTGTTAATATTAAGCAACTTCATGATTTTGTTTATATTTTTATATTTGTTTAGTGATATTAAAAATATAGTCTTCTTTAAATATTACTCATCAACAATACTGATTTTAATAATTATCTTTATCTTTATGGACAGCTCTGATGATCCACAGGCTCAGAAATACATCACGGAAAGTAAATGTTTAGTGAGTATGGTTCTATTATTACCTCTCCGTTACACAAAGTCGTTGCCAAGGTCATAACCAATTATATTATTTTGAAACTTTCTATCTTTATTAAAATCATTCCTTATGTAACACACCTACAATTTCCTTTATAGGTCATTGAAAAGAATGGAAAGTTACGATATGAAATAGATACTGGAGAAGAAACAAAGTTTGTTAACCCAGAAGATGTTGCCAGACTGATATTTAGTAAAATGAAAGGTACTGAGCAAAAGAGACCTTTTAAAAGTTGACCTTAAAGAAAAGTTAGAGGTGTTTCTTGATCTGGAGAGAAGCAGGGTGATTGAGCAGATTAAGGAGACCTAACACTAGACCTGACTGTGTCACTAACTGTCCATGTGACCTTGGTTATTTGACTAACCTTCCCTGACTTTGGTTTCCTTAGAAGTAATGTAAATGGGTTGGGCCAGGCTCACATTTCCACAGCTTCTTAAATTGAAGTGGCCAAATAAGTGTGAAG